ATTCCTTATATGAAAATATTAAGGGCAAAGTTTCAACTTTTGCCCTTAAAAAGGTGGAAGAGCAGTATCAGAGGATTACACAAGAACCTTTACCACTGTGTACTGGATCTTTCTCGAGCACAATGGGACTACCATGTGCTCATAAAATTCAACTTCTTGAAAATCATCAAGGTTTAACGCTTGACGATTTTCATAAACATTGGTGGATTCAAAACTGCTCACCGATACTACCTGTTAAGGAAAACAATGAATTGCAACCTCTTTTGCAAGCTCTACAAGAAAGGTATGAAGAGTGGCCAGAACACCAGCAAGCAACTGCCCGGGAAAAATTAAACAGCATCATTAATACCTCAACAACGGTCTTGCAGAATCCTCAAGTTGTTCGTACTAGAGGAAGACCTCCTGGTTCCTCTAATCGCAGAACAGATAATTCAACCAGAAGAGATCCTTCTGGGTTTGAATTAATGGAACGTAGAGTAAGGCGATGCACCCTTTGCAAACAGCCTGGACACTATGCTAGTACTTGCCCGACTAAAATCTAATTCACTTTTATTAGTAACTGCTAACGTTAGGTTGTAAATATATTGCTGCTATGAATGCTGTATGTATACACAGTAGATAGGTTTTTGTGAATTACTGGTAGTTGCATGATTGCGTTAGGAACCTGTATGTACTACACAACATCTTTGCAATTGAATTGCATACATAATGCTATGCTTATTAATCTTGATACTTATCTAGGATATGATTTGCATCTGTTTATGGGGTATGCGATATCAAATAAGTGCATACATACGTATAATTAATTTTTTAGAACCTGAACTTTGAAATCAGTACCTATACAGATAAAATATAATTTTTAGTTTTCTCTTAATATGCTCTATAACACACAGAGCCATTTTTTTTTTTAATTTTACCTATTTTAAAGCGAAATTAACTACAAAAACACAGTTGATGTTAATAAAATGAAAAGGTGTCTGTAGCATTATAAAGCATGCTAAGAGGAATCTAAAAATTATATTTTTATCCGAGTAGATGCACTGGTTCAAAAGTAATAAAAATCCGAAATTCACATATGCTTCGATTGAATTTTAGAAAATTTTTAGCTCTATTTATACGCACATTAACAGTTTGTTGATTATTTGATATCGCACACTCCAATCTGTTAAGCTATATTGTTATAAATCTAACTTAACCAGCGAATATAATAATATCTACTGCTTATACGTACCTTATTGATATTGTCTATGTGTTACTATTTATGGTTTGAACTATTCTTAGTTTGAGCTACATTCTCTTAATTTTGAACCGATTACTTATAGATTTGGTCATATTTGCAAATCGCTTGCAGCTTTAATTAATCAGTCTTGCCAGTTTAGCATTAGATTAGCCGTATTGTTATTTTCGTAGTTTTTTTGAAACAGGTATGAGCAGTTGCAATAGTCTAATATTTAATAAGTGGATATACTATACTACGTACGTATTACATAAACTTATAATTATTAAAAAAATACGTATTATACTACGTCATGTAAAAAAATTAGCTAAAATATTTTTTACATGGGAGGGGGTATGAATAGCAAAAGTGGGGGGTACAAATAGTATCGCCCTTTAAATAATATTAATTGAGATTTTTAATCTGATATCTATTGATTATTACCAATTACTAACTTAATCGATAGTCATTGTCAGGAGAGATTTAAATCAATTACTATCCAATAGCTAATAAAAATCGATAGTAATCCTTGTGCAAATATTGGTGATAGTGCTGATAAACTAAGGACAGATTATAGTCCTTCCAGGCTATCTGGATTGGGAGCTGGAACCAAAGCAAAAGGAAACCGAAGTACTGAGAATATGCTGTGAAGTAGGTACCAGGATTTGAGTGAACTTTGCAAGGGCATAGCCCTATTAATAGAACCGTAGAGTGGGTAGATTGTTGACAGGGAGGCACTCTAAGCCTTGCTACCGGGTAATATACTCCTTAAAATAGGTACGGCCTGGGTTCCTAGCACAGAAAAGGAGACTACATATCAAGTTATACAGCACTTATTATATAGGAACTTAGGTGCTAATTGCTGGGTAGGTACAGAAAATTAGAGGGTTAAATAGGCAATCTCCTAGTACGTTATAGATATAGCAACTAGTATAGAACCTTTGGGTGGACTACTTAAATAGACAATCAAAAGTTGTATGTGTGGCTAGTTGTATACTTGTTAATATACCAAAAATGTCTGTAATATAGACAATATAAAAACACAATAAAGTATTAAGCAACTGCAACATTGGTCTTTAATATAAAAAAAAAAAAAAAATCTCTGACCAACTTTATAATAATATTTGAATTCCATACTGTTCTTACTTTTCTTACTAGAAAAAAGCTCACCAAATCCTATCATGAATCAATACTATACCCCATACCTCACTACTTTCTAGAAATTACATAAATAGAATTAATTATATTTATAGTTGTCCTTGTGGCTTTACTAACTACTTATATTCAGAATCTAACACATGTCTTCTACTAGGACAAGCTTCTCTTAAATACAATATTTGGTTTACTATGTGAGTCAAATAGAGTATACCTACTAATTATATCTTAACTATCCAAATTTAGATGAGTCTTGACCACTCTAGTAGGTTTAGGTCACAAATAAATTAGTCCAAGCTTCTATTCTTGCATGTAATTTATATTTATTTATTTGTATATAAATTTTGTTTTTATATAGTTTCTATATAACTACTTATATAAATTATTTAATAAAAATATAAGCAAAACCTCACCTTAATACCAAAAATAATAATAATAATAATAATAGCTTAAAATAAATAAAAAAACTTTTACTATTTATCACTCATACACAAATTCTTTACAAATTAATTATTAAAAAAACAGCTTATAACTTTTCTTTTTACTAAATTAATCTTAGTTTTGCTACTAAATAAACTTGTTTTTTTTTTTTTTCGGTGTTAAGGTGACCTCTACGGCCGGGAACTTTTTATTAACTTATTAACTTCGGGTTACAGTTACAACGAGGGTACATCAA